TTTAAGCAGGGGAGAGCTGGCAGCCTTAGGCCTGGGGGGCAAAACCAGTCAAGTGGCCCATTGCACCACCAAATCAGTGCAATGGTGCCCACCTTTTCCTGGTTTTATAACGGATATTGATGTTATGCTAATCAGTAGCTCTTTGCCATACCCGCTCCTTCACGGCTCTGACTTTCAGTTGTTGTCAGAGCGCAGGCTGAGAATCGATGAGCCTGTGCTCTGACTCACTAACTGAGCGTCGGAACCATGAGGGAGAGGCTATAATCTGACTATAATCTGCTATAATGAGGGAGAGGCTATAATCTGACTGCACCTACTGCTGGTGCGCACCAGTGGACCACCAGCGAATCGTTTAAATTGAATAGGCTGGTGTCCCCAACTTGTGAGCTGTGTTGTCCGCGGGGTGCCTCTATTGTGATGGCACCCTGCGTGACTGGACAGTGTGCACACCCCAACGGCTGGCACTGCTGACACACACTGATGTTACTACTTAGAAATCCCTCAATATTAATACAGACATCAGAGTAAACACCAATAAACTGTGGAAACAGAGCTGATCCCCCCAAATTTATAAAGATTTGCTTACTGGATTTGTTGTAAGATTAAATCATGCCTCCTCCTCTCTCTCTACCATGCGCTGCTCTGTAGGCTGGGAGGAAGTGAAGAGTAATCACAATCTCCCAGCACAGCGGCACCTGTGGCTGCATGGGGAACAGCTGTATTTGCCGCCCCCCATGTGACATCACAATGCCCCACCTATATGAGCTGCCATACGAACTAACGCCAATGCTGCCACAGTGTATGTTTACATTAAAAAGTCTGCAGGGACCGGCTATAGACACCAGAACCACTTCATTAAGCTGCAGTCATTCTGGGGACTATAGTGTCCCTTTAATGTGAGGTAAATTATAGATTAGTGTCACTAATAATATACTAGATTGCCTACTTACAACAAGATGAGGATGATGATGGGCTGCAGTTTGGCTCCACTGGTCTGATGTAGAACTGAATCTCTGGAGGCTGTTTGGAACTGTGATCAGGGCTGCCATCAGAAATGTTGGGGCCCCTGACACAGCTCAAGGTCTGGGTCCCCCGGTGCCTGAACCCGAGTCCGCCCAAAGTGCTGCCCCCCCCCGAATCCGCCCACAGGGATGCAGTGTCTACAGGGCCAGTGCAAGGATTTTTGCCGCCCTAGGCAAAAGTAAAGTTTGCCGCCCCCCCATGTGACATCACAATGCCCCACCCATATGATCTGCCATGTTAACTAACACCAGTGCTGCAGTGCCGTCGTGTTTACATTAAAAGGCCTGCAGGGACAGGCTAGACACCAGAACCACTACATTAAGCTGCAGTGGTTCTGGGGACTATAGTGTCCCTTTAATGTGAGGTAAATTAGAGATTAGTGCCACGAATAGTATACTAGATTGCCTACTTACAACCAGATGAGGATGATGATGGGCTCTGGCTGCCGTCTGGCTCCACTGGTCTGGTGTACAACAGGCTCTCTGGAGGCGGTTTGTAACTGGTCACAAAAATCACTGTTCTGGGAGAACGGGAAGCAGCTCCATTTTTTTGAGGGCCCTTTACACAGCTCAATGTCTGGGTCCCAGGGTCCACCTTTTTGTTCCACCAATGAGTTTGTTCACAGGGAGTGGAGTGTGTGTGTGTGTGGGGGATGTCCTGATGTGTGTAAGGAATGCATTGTGTGAATCTGTGTAAGGGCTGCAAGATGAGTTTGTGTATGTATGGGATGCAGTGTGTGCGTCTGTAAGGGATGCATTGAGTGTATGTAAGGGGTGCATTGTGTGTTGCTGTGTGTAAGGGATGCATTGCTTGTGTACGTGTATCTGTGTGTAATGCATTGTGTGTTTTTCTGTGTGCAAGGGGTGCATTGTGTGTGATGGATGTCAATCTCTCCCCCTCCCCCCCCGTCAATTTCCTTCTCCCCCCTCTCCCTCCAATTTCCTTCTTCCCCTCTCCAATTTCCTCCTTCTCCTCCTCCCTCTCATTTCCTTCCTCTCCCCGTCTCTCAAATTTCCTTCCTCTCCCCCCGTCCCTCAAATTTCCTTCCTCTCCCCCCGTCCCTCAAATTTCCTTCCTCTCTCCCGTCCCTCAAATTTCCTTCCTCTCTCCCCTCCCCCTCAAATTTCATTCCTCTCCCCCCTCAAATTTCATTCCGCTCCCCCCTCCCATTTCATTCCTTCCTCCCCCTCTCCTCAAATTTCATTCCTTC